AAGATTTTGCCGCGAATAACCTACGGTTCTTCCGTGAGTTACCTAAGGATTTTTCCGCGAACAGCCTAGGGTTTTCCGCGAGTATCCTAGGATTTATTTCGCGAGTAACATACGGTTTGTTCCGCGGTTTCTGGGAGAGCAAGTTTTATTTTTCCGAAAGGTTCTCGGAAAACGTCTTTTGCTTAACGCGTGAGATTTGTCCAACTCGGAAATAAGAAAAACACTATGGAGTTTGATAGATTTTATCGTTGCCCTTAGTGATCTGAGATAGAAATTGTGAGCTTGTTTGTTGCTCTTCCCGTGGCGAAGAGTCGCGATTAGGTTTTCGATTTTGTTGAGTACTACAGCGTTTGCGTGAGCGTTGGCTGTAGGAGCAGTCGCTGCTGGAGTTTTTTTTTACCAGCGTCTTTTTGCGAGTTGTGACTTTGTCTTTCATACATCTAGACATCGTTTTGGTCAAGCGTTTTGCGGCTATGAGTAAGAATAATCCGACCCCCCCCCTCCTTCTAGCGCCAAACTGTGGGAACCGAAGTTCACACCTGTTGATTTTCGTTAAATAAGGAAACTTAGGAAAACCCTAATTTTCCAGAGGAACTGGATCTCTGCGAAAGCCAACAACAAGTAACCAAGAACGCGATTAATATGAATAAATTGAAAGATATAAAAAGAAAAACGAGATTGAGAGCAAGAAGGATTCTTATTCTGAATTCGCGTAAGAATGGTTACAACGAGAGTTGCCTTAGTTGCGTGAGCCGTCGGTGAAATTTCTAGTTCTAACAATCTAAGACTAAAACCCTAGTTGAGACGCAGCTCGATAACGAAAACGGAAAATTTCCTAAATGCTAATGTTGGTGGTAAGAGCTCTGAAAATCGTCCATTTGCTTCTGCCCTATGCCTCTTGCTTATATACTCCCTTCCTAGGCGGTTTAGTCTTTCCATTTCGCCCAGATTCGAGTTTAATGAGAATCTTCCAGTTATCTCGATCTTTCCTTTTTTTTTCCGCAGAAATCTTCTATTTATCCTCAAACTTGACTTTTATCTTCAAGTTTGACATTTATCTTCTTTCTGCGAGTAAATCGCCAAAACGTCTTCGTATCTTCGGGTTGGACTTCGTTTAAAGTCGCGAGTGGCTTTTATCGCGTTTTATGACTTTCCGAGCCGTTTTGCGATAAATCCGTTTTACGACTTTAGACGAGATCGTTTCCTGATACGATGCCGTTTTTAGATAAGTTTCTCGAGTTAATCTTAAAGCTAAGCAATGTTTGATGTTTCGATTAATCGTTGCCGTTTTCTACGATTTACTTGGGGTTTTATTAAAAACGCGTTTTGTACGATTTTTACGAAAAATCTAGAATAAATCGTATAGTTTAGGCAATATTCGGTGTTTCGTTTAACCGTTGCCGTTTTATACGATTTCCTCGAGTTCTTTTCGAGAAAACAAAGTTTTACGGGTTTTATCGTAAAACTCGAACGATAGGACGGATCGTGACGAAACGGGAGACATTTCGACCGTGATTCGGAATACGATCGTGTCGAAAGATGTATGCCTTGAATCAAGGATGTGGGAGATCGAGGCTCGGGATGGTCGGTTCGACGTACGGCGAGCTAGTTCAGCTTGGCCAGGTCGCCATATGGCGAACAAGGTGAAAAAAACCAGTGGGGGCAAAGTCAGTAGTTCGCCCAAAGGCGAACTAAGCCGGTGGGCGAACTAGTTGCGACTAGTTCGCGTTTTACGGCCGTTTCGGTTTTTTGCGGTTTTGTAAAACGATTTCTCGAGTTTTATAAAACGATTCTCGAGTTTTATAAAACGATTCTCGAGTTTTATAAAATGATCCTCGTGTTTTATAAAACGATCTTCGAGTTTTATAAAACGGCTTCTCGAGTTTTATAAAACGATCTTCGAGTTTTATAAAACGATCTTCGAGTTTTATAAAATGGCTTCTCAAGTTTTATAAAACGATCTTCGAGTTTTATAAAACGGCTTCTCGAGTTTTATAAAAAGATCTTCGAGTTTTATAAAACGATCTTCGAGTTTTATAAAACGATCTTCGAGTTTTATAAAACGGATTCTCGAGTTTTATAAAACGATCTTCGAGTTTTATAAAACGATCTTCGAGTTTTATAAAACGGCTTCTCAAGTTTTATAAAACGATCTTCGAGTTTTATAAAACGACTTCTCGAGTTTTATAAAACGATCTTCGAGTTTTATAAAACGATTCTCGAGTTTTATAAAACGATCCTCGGGGTTTTATAAAACGATTCTCGAGTTTTATAAAACGATCCTCGAGTTTTATAAAACGATCCTCGAGTTTTATAAAACGATCCTCGAGTTTTATAAAACGATTCTTTGGGTTTTATAAAACGATTGCTTTTATATTTCTGTGGGGAGTTTCGGCCGTTGATTCCGTCTTACCGATTTTGACCCTAACAAGTAGATGTGAAAGTTACTTTCATACATGTATCTAAAATATAATTCATCTATTTTTTTTAATTTTAAAGACCGAATAGAAAAGTGTTATTTTTTCCAATTATAGACGAAAAAATAGCCATTATTATATTTTGAATAGGAATTATTATAAAGAAAAATATAGAGATAAATTAAATTGTCGTAGGTTTAGGTTTGAAGAATAACACCAAAACATGATCATCGTAGGAGTCAAAAGGTTCTTTTCTAACTTTGAATTTTTGACCACTTAGTTTGTATAAGGAGCCCGTTACAAATTCTGTAATGAATTTGGTAAACTTCACATGCTCAAGGTACGGCCGGCTCAATACAATTAGAGACCCTTGGGCCAGATTTTTTTTTTAACTACGATTATCAATTCCAGTTTTCTAAACATGTATTTTGTCGACAAACAAAAAAAATTACCATTTTGAAAAACAAACTCATTCAATTTTTTTATTAAACTAACCAACTGTTTTGTTTCGAAAATATTTTATATTAATATGTCTTATAATACTATACTAGATCTCGACCCGCACAACCGTGCTGGTATTTTAATACGAAAATATTTGAAATCATATAATACTCACTCCGTTTTAAATAGATGATGGTTTATAAGATTTATTTTATTTCAAAATATAAGATGTTTTGAGATTTTAAGTTATATTTTGAGGTTTTAAATTTATCATTAACTTTATTGGAAACTGTTCAACCAATAAAATTTTACTTTTTTTAATGATTTGTTGAATGATTATAAATTAATATCTTTAAAAATAATTTTGTAAAAGAATGTAAATTTCTTAATTTTTGTGCTATGATCCAAAAAATCATATATTAAGTAACAGAGGGAGTAAAATTTATCAATAAATAAATATAATTTGATTGTATATACTATTTAATTTTATAATAATATTTATGTAGCTTATAATATTTTTAATTTAAAATTTATAAATTTGTATTTTTGTAACAATTTTTAAAAACATTATTATGTAATATTAGAAATTTATATATTTTGTTTTATTTCTAAATTTTAAATATATAAAAAAAAATTAAATTGGACCTACATAAATACATAAACAAAATTTTGGGATATTGTTAAAAGTATATTACATAATTTTAATTTTTTGTTAAAAGATTAATTAAATTTTAATTATATTCTATGATAATTAAATTTTTAATCAAATAATTTTTGAAACTATATCTTGAAAAGATTCTATCAGATTTTTAAAAGATTTTGTTAGAATTTTCTTAAAATTATTTATTTGTATTTCAAATAAAAATTAAAGATATAAAAAGATATTATAATGATGTTATGTAAATTTATATAAAATTTCTAATGATGGTCCAAATTAAAAAATCACACATGAATTGAGTCATGACTTCTCTTTTAATATAATAGATGAATTTAAACTAAAACTTATATTTATACATATAAACGAAAAAATAACAAAGTAAAACTTGAGAGTGGACCCTTGTACTGGCCGTCTCCTATGTGTCTCCTATGTCAAACCGGCTATGGTTCAATGTATAATTAATTTAGTAAAAAGTTATAATAAAACATAATTCGACGAAAAAAACTGAGAGATTTTGACAATTTTTTGATGAAAGAAATTTCAAAATATCTGTGAAATTTATCATCAGTTTTTTAAGAGTTCCCGACAGATTAAAAGAAATACATATTTTTACTATTTTCATTAGGAATATATTGGAAATTTCTAACTGATTTATAGATTTACATAAATATCTACTTTGAATAAATTCCTTGAGAGCTACGACGGATTTCCGATAGATTTAAATAAATATTTTTTTTTACTAAATCTGTAAAAACATATTGGAAATTCCTCACAGATTTAAATATAAATATTTTTTAAAATATGTCAAAAATCTTTTAGAAATTTCTAATTGATTTATATTAACATTTTTAATTTGTCGAAAATCCATCACAAATTTTTGATAGATTCTTGACGGCAACAAGGTTTAGGATTTAAGACTAGGTAATACACAATTCCTTAAATATCCATGATAATAACATATTAACTTGTATTATTATTTTTTTAATTTATATATATATATATTTTTTTTATTTATGAATAATTTTATAAAATTTAAAAGGCATATTTGTTTATATTTATAATAGTAATAAATTTTACCTATAATTATTAAATTTATTTGATATTACACATGATTTTTTTATCTATTTTACAGATGATAATAAAGGTAAATGATAATTGTCTAATTTACATAGAAAAAAGTTTTCTTAATTTTTGTACTGTAACTTTAGAAATAGAGCTAAATAGTTTTCAAAAATTATTAGAGTTTTGATTTAGACTTTGAACTTTAAAACAAAAGCTAAATCGTGATGGTAAATTTTTTTTTAGTAAGTTTTGATGATTTAAAAATAAATAAAGCTAAAGAAACAAGATAAAATCCAACGAATCACCCATATTATTAATCTGATGGTATTGCTCAAAATCATGGATTTCATTTATAAACTTAAACGGCTATTTAATTTATCAACTCGAGAGAAAAAAGAGAGAAAAATCGCAAGCGTACTTACAGGGTGGAAGAATCCAACGTCTAAATCAACACCATCGAGACGCATTGTTTTACATTGGCCTCCTAAAAAAGACTCCTTTTCAAACAACACCACCTCCTCGATTCCATCTTCTCTTGCAAGAACGTAGGCACTTCCTAACCCACTTAATCCACCTCCGATCACCGCCACTCTCATTTTTAATCTTTTTGTTTCCTATTCAAAAGTTATATTCCTGAAGTTCTTGGACAACACCGACTATAAAATGAATCTACGAAAATCATGTAGACGAGAAAATACCTTCTTTTTGGCACAAAGTGGATTTGATCTCAAGATGGGAGTTGGCGAAGCAACATTACATTCAGTCATACCCTGCTTTATAGTTATTAAGTGGTAGATAACGTGGTTAGGCAGAAGCTAAAGGCGTATACAGGGATTTGACAAGTGACAACGTGATTCTCATCCTAGCTTTAATGTCAGGCAGCAGGGCCACATAATCCGGGATAGTTATGCTTGATCTTCGTCACCAAACCTAATGGTTAAAAAAACTATTTTAAAATTTTTGCATGGATATATGACAAGTCATATCGTGTAATGTCCACATGGTTCGTTCATTGTGTAATTATTATTATTTTGGTCTGTTCAAATTAATTCCACTATTAAACAAGATTTATCTAATCATTTATCAAAAAGACAAGATTGTGTATCTTACATTTGTCTTACTCGCGTGCCCTCATATGGGTGATGTGTTAATCTTGCGTCTACCCAATTAATTATACCAAAAAGATTATTACAAAATAATTTGAAGTATAGTATAGAATAAAATATTTCTCATTTAACTAGAAAAACCTGAAATACTATAAAATAATTAAGAAAAATGCAATTGTTGTTGTAAATTATTAGATGAGATACTGATTATTATTTTGTTATGTGTTGATCGACGAAACAAAAGAAAGATGAAACATGAGATGTGTCTTATTATTATTTACTTCTTCTTCTTACACCAATTTCTTCGTACAATGAAATGCTATTTATACTAAAAACATATATTGCTTATTCATCTTTATTTCAGAGGAGAAGAGGACACTTATTAATGATGATGATAACAAAGAGCAAAACTTAGTCATGATAAAAATTTGATGGAACAAAAATTATGATAAATGCCCTGTTCGTTTGGTTGCCGCAGGTTTCG